ACCTGCCTTCTTCCTCATCCATGCAAGTACCTGGATTGCGAACCTTCGCATTCATTCGTGAGGTTTAATCATTATAATTATTAAAGACGAGAATCAGTTTTTGTAACATTCAATGATTTTTCTGAGGCATGTCCCAGATTCTCTTGATTAAGGCGACGATATTTTTAATAAGAATGAGGGCCGGACTGTCCAGAGGAATATAAGTAGTTCGCAGGCCACATGCGGAATGGTGGCTGTAGTCTTAAAAAATAGATTATGGTCGTAAGGTTAATTACAGTCATACCTCCTTTGATCCAGATGCATTGTGTCTTACGATGAAAATTTCCATTTAACGCCTGTGAGTGCCATTATAACCAAGGACATCTTTGACAACGCCGACATATGCCTTTCTGTTAATAGCATTTTTTGTCGACCGCCAGATTGGTCGCTCAAAAACTTATTTATCATTTAAACCACGAGGCGTCGATAGTTTTTGAGTGTTTGTGTCGATGCATCGCGTTTTTTGGAGAACATACGTACGCATATGACAACACGTGCCGGCTTTGTAGACTTTTATAATAGGAGTACCTCATCAAAATAAAAATGTCTTTCCTTGGCGGACGTTAGTGACTAACGTGTTCCTGAGCAACTAGGAAACGTTTCTTTAAAAATGTTCCTCTTTCAAAATTGCTTAATCGTAGCCATCTGCAACCAAGTACAAAACTAGTTGCCTTAGTGCAACTTGAATCCAGCAGCTTAAAAACGGAAGAAATAACTAACAGTTCTCGTGAAAACATATGCGAATACATGCTTGAATTTTGGTCTGTTTGGTAGCGGCCATATGTTACGCTGCGTGTGATAGGGAAGGATAAATATGCATAATGTTTACAAAGTTATTACTTTCCAACTGAATCCTCATTGCGGTCTTTTATTTACTCTCTTTTCTCTAAACTGCACAATTAAGCTTACCCAGTATGTCCGATTTCCAAGTTTTTGAAACTTTCAACTTTTGTAAAAGACAGTATTTCCGAACAAATTCTATAACTTAATAAACTGCGATATAACTTACTTTCAAAAACGATCATAACGTTACTGCAGTTAGACTATGAGGACGCAACGTTAGCAGGGTTTGCGTAACACGGACTTTCGTTTAAGATTTCTTGGATTTTACGAGTAAGTCTACCTACTGTATATAAAAAAACTAATGCGTGTGTATCTTTAATCATGTAACATATTATCGAAGATATATTCACAACGTCTGATACTACTCTTATCCTGTTGACTGACAAAGGCTGACTGCTGACTACATAGGCAAACCTGAAAAGATTTTTCCTATGCGTCTGTAAAAAATGAGTATTGGATGTCGGCGTAAAGATTAATAAGTTTCGACAAATAAAAATAACTTAAAACAAACCATGGAATTAGGTAGAGCTCACGGATGACCATAAGGAAAATATCCTAATTAATTGCTTTTTACAAAGGATAACTTCTTCAAGAAAGTTAGTTGAAGGATGATGGAAACATTCATTGATAAAATTATCCTCGAAAGTTTTTTTCTTCTCGCTGATGAGGATTCTTGTTTAGGTATGTATAACATATGTTTGAAAAGGTCATCCGACTTGGAAGTAATGCCCTTTTTCCACTTCTACTGTGTCCATGAATTCATGTACACTTACGGAAGAAGGTACGTTGGCCGTACGCAAAGGCAATTCGCAACCAGGGCCGCTGATTATTTGTCTACTTGGCTTTCCAAGCAAGGAAATAAAGTGTCCTTTATTACAAAACACCGGCTAGACAGTGGTCACTCTGTTGACCTCAACACATCTTTCCGAGTTCTTGTGCGAGCATGAACAAATCGGACCTTGCGCTATATGGAAGCAGCCAATGTATGGTAAGAGATATGCAACGTATAGAAGCAGTTAGACCATGTGACTAATCTCCAACTGCCGTGGGCATGTCCACATTTAATCAACCTTTTTATTTGTGTTAATCTCTGTCCCTTCTCCTCCTTTCCAAGTTTAAAGGTGACATTAAAGAAGACCTTGCTATCATTGATTCTGTGAAAATTCAAAATGACATGTTCTCCAAGCGTTATCTTATTCATGCAAAGAGCGAAAGCAGTTGACAACCTCTCCCGAAATTAATTTGTACGAATAAATTCTGCTGTGTTCCCTTGCTTTAAATATGGCGTTTTCCGAAAATTTGGACTTGGCTGTTTATTGACCCCCCGCAACTCATGCGTGTTATGAGCGCGCCAAATGCAGCCTACTATAGCTGTGTTATTATACCTGCATTCGATTTTTGTGCTCACTCGGTCGATCATAGCAAAAGCGCGATAAATGGGCTGCCAAATGTTGTAAAAACCTACAATCAAGGATACTTAGGAGTCAACTTAAGGCAGGTCTCATTCGATAGCATGTTGACCAGTCCTAAGCTATAAGTACCTTGACATCAATTTTGATTGCAGAATTATCGTAAGGAGAGTTTCTTTAACATACACTTGACCAACAAAAACGGTCTTGCATTTAATTAGCGCGAAATTAAATAGTTAAACACTGCCTGCAAGCGGTAATAATGCTGCGTCAGGTTTATAATGAAGCACACATGAATAACTTATTTTAATAGTACACATGCATGCAGCTGAACGGACCTGATATTTGGTTCATTTTATTAAAGATATTATAAGAAACAAGCCAGTTCAGTAACTGCATGGGCTTAAATGCAGGCAGGTGTCCCGACTGCTAATGTTAAAAACAAAGGAATATAATTAATATTTTCGTTATACCAACTTCCCGTTTATTCCTTAGATATAGCTTATACTTATTAACCTCACAAGGTAACACCTATCAGGCAATAGCTGGATTAGGCCTTGGAGATGGCAAAAATGTCAGTTGTCAATAAATAAATTATTATAACCGGATTGCAATCCCGTGACCTCATGCATGGCAGGAATGGGCGGTCGAAAGTCCTAAGGGGGTCACTACGTTGTAGGGTGGAATAAAATGTGGCAGATGCCAAGCAAGTTGTATATCTACTAAAAATAATTCCCTCGCAAGTCACCACTAATACATTCCTCTTTTGTGGTGCGTACAGTGGTCTTCCTGGAGATCGAATTGTCACATGAAGTTAAAGCCTCCTTGTCACCAAACAGTATTTTGCGTTTGCATAAGTGCAAACTATTTAGCCCATACAGCCTACTTTTATGCAATATATGAGGTAGAATTCCCAAAAAGCCGAACTGAAAGTTAGGACCGAGACGATGACCGCTCTCGGTTAACGTCCTCTTCCCAATGCAATCGGTATACAAAAC